GGGGGGGGGGGGGGGGGGGGGTATGGATGCTTTCTGGAACAGCACATTGCCCCATTATCCAAAAATTGTTAATTTTAATTTATTTCCTGATTACTCTGAACTTGCAAAAGAAATGTTTCCTTGTTGCCTAAGCCACATGTACAAGTGTTTGCAGCTGAGTACATTACTTATTTCCTGTTAAAAATATTAGTTTGAAGTTCTGCAGCATGTGTGGTACCAATTGACGCTGGTTAATCATTGTCAGTGAGAGGAAATCTTTGCAACAACACTCCTCTGTTTAAAAAGACTTCACTTTGTACAGTTACTAGTTCTCTGCATTGCAGTATATAACTATTTTGAGCTTGAAGTGTATTTATATAACAATGCTAATTATATCATTATGCTTTCAAGTAAAGTAACATGGTAAATACTGGTACATTCCACACTTTAGGTTAATAATTAATTAACATTAATAATACAATATTTTTTTACCAATACGAGATGGTGGCCAGTGTCTGCCTGCTTCACAAGTTTGCTGCCTAATTTATGAAAAATTAATCTCTATCAACTGGCTAATTAATAAAATTCATGTCATGTGTATTCTAAAATATATTCAAATTCCTGTAATTCCAGTTACTTATAAGGATCTCCTAGATGTTACAGTTTGTGGGTAAAAGAAGTAAGGTCTCTGTTTGTTAAGATCCAATGCCATCATGGTTATTTGTTTCAGCAATGTTTTTTCTTATGAACAATTTTCTAACATTTTTAAGAAAATTCAAAGTTTTAGTTCCTTGGCTCCAAAACAGAAGTGCAACATGCCTCACTCCCTAATGCATAGGAGTTGCTGAGGAATATACATGAAAATAGTATGCATGTAGATATTAAAGTACAATCTTCATACAGTGGAACCCTCTTTATCTGGTCATGAATGGGCCATGAACGCCTGGCTGTACTAATGGGGTGACCATATTAAAGGGGATCTTTAAATAAGACAATGACTGACTGAGCTTTTGTTCAGGCAAGAATAAAGTGGTGACCATATTAACTGGCTGGCCGTAAGGTGGGGTTCCACTGTACCAGAGTTGTTATGGTTACGGTTTCTTTATGTTGAACAGGAATGCAGTGAGCACCATACAGTCAAATAAAGAAAATGTTACTTGAGATCAATTTCTGTTTTCTTAACACTGGTCTTAATTGCACTTCCTTCATCACAGAATTACAACTAAATTCAAGAATTTAGCATTACATGAAAGGGTGTAAGACCATTTCCTACCAATAACTTCAGTTACATTATTATTATTATTTTTTTATGATCTGATGAAAAAGTACCAAAATTTACAAGAACCATAACATGGTGTGATAGGTTTAATGAAGTGATGTACTCTGTATATTGGCTTCAAAGTGAATACAAAATTACCTCTACCTGAATGTTTGAATTCTTTTATTAATTTTGCAAAAAGTTGAAATCCTTATACTTTTTCTTTGCTGTGGAGGCCACAAGAAATCAAAAATCAAAAAGGATTGCCTGGGATTGTGGTATATTATCCTCTATCAACGACTTGTTCACCATCTTGTATTGATCAAGCCCAGATGACATTCCACTTTGGGATGGATACAAGATAGCAATCACGTACGGTCAAAAATTTCAAAACAGGAACAAATGGTGCAGACATTTCCTGGGAAAATTTCCAGAAATTGTTCAATTTCCAAAAAGACCATTCTTGGGAATTCTGGAAATTCTGAAAATTCTAAGAGGAAAGCCAAATGGAATGGAAATTCCCAGTAAGAAATTTCTGGAAAGTTTGGTATACCCCATGTCCCCATTTCCAGAAATTATGGAAAATGCTGTTTCGTTTATCACTGGAAATTTCTGGGAATTCAAACCAGAATTTTTCATTGAATGGAGTGCACTCACAATTTTTGTGTCATATACATGTATTACAACAACACACATTGCAAAAATTTCAACATCCCAACTGCCTAAGAACACATCAATTACAGTGGTGACTCCTGAACAGTGAAGAAAGTTGAAATTGACTGCAAAAAAGTTAAAATTGAGGGCGGAAAGCTGAAATTAAATTGCATGTATATTACTAACAAGTTCTTGTGCAATTTGCAATGAATAAGCACTTGTGAATTTTTTAAAGACTACTGAAAAATTTACTGGTGCTTATTTATTCCAAAATGCACTTGGAATTATTTAGTTACTTACATGTATACTTACTGTAGTCATAGTTAAACATTTACTTCACTTGTTAATTAGAATCAGAGTGAAACAAAAACAAAATCATACAAATTGAATATTGATTAGTGAGACCAAATAGGTCAACAGGAGACGCTTTTTGGTTCTGTCGTTTCTGGATAATGGTACTGACATGAAACTGGACATGACCATTACTGTGAAATCCTAGGGCTAGATTTAGAATAGCAACAAAATAATAAACTTCAGGGTTAACAAATACTTCTAGTTTTATAATCATTTAAATAAAACTCTGAAGGGTGTACTGTCACTTCAACATTAATGGAAATGTATGTTTCCTAGGTAACTGTGGTACCTAGTTGTTATGGACAGGAAATTTTTCAGTACTGCAAAGTTAACTCGAAGTGTCCAAGTTGATTATCGAAGTCTAAGTTAATGATGAAATCATCTTCATCAACAAACTGCTCAATCATGCGGTCATCCATGTTTACAAGGATACTGAAACAAAGAAAATTGTCTATTGTCAATAACAAACAACTCAAGATAATTTGAACAATTATAGCTACATTGTAAGCATCCAATATTTCAGTGCTTCAAAGCTCCCGTGAATTTTATTTTTTAATCCATGTATTTATGCTAATCCATCTATTTGGTATGGGTAATTGTATGAATATGAGACAGTGCAATTAAGGACTTACACTACAAGTGATACATGAGCCTTTAGGTGAGTGCAATTTGAGAGAATTTCCAAATACCACAAGAAGTGTACATCCATAATTGATCAAGCTTTCAATGATTACCCATTTATTACCTAGGACTGCGAAAAATTGCAAACACACACACATTAATTTGGACTGCAGTGTAAACTAAAAATCAAAGATTAATTGGTTTGCTCTCAGCAAATCCTAGTGAAGTAATTTTCTATGTCATATAACAAATTTGCTAATCCTATCTATTTATTTGCTAATTCATCTATTTTCCAGCTGACAGCAACCTGCAGCTGGTGATGGACAAGAATGGCTGACAATTCCTCAACTTACAACCAAGAAACAAATGTATTCATTTACTACTGTGAGGATTCTTGAACTATAACACCTGACATGTTTTAGTACATTTTTTGTGGCTATAGAACGAGGGCATTTCACAGAGTAAATATTTATGTTAATGTTGTATGAAGATTCCTCATTCTTAAGTCAACAAAAAAATGTTGAATGTTAATGGTTTGAGTGTCTCCACTTTAAGAGTTATACGCAGATGTAGAAGAACACATGACTTGTGTATCTCTTACCCCTTCTTAGTCTTCTTGTACACATTCTTTATCATTTCTGGTGGCATGCCATATTTACTGGCAACCTGAAATATAATCACAAGTCAAATCAATCACACATTGGAAAAAATGGCGACTGGTACATTTACACATAATAATTTTACCTAACACAAAACTTTAACAATAATAATACGCATAACAATACGAGCCATACGAGCCAAGTGGCCCATCAGGCTGGAGCTTATCCCAGTTTCTGTAGCATGAAGCGACTAGGAGTATTTCTACTCCCCCCTGGATGGGATGCTAGNTGTGAGAGTAAAGTGTCTTGCCCAAGAACACAACACAATGTCCCCGGCCAGGGCTCGAACCCGGACCGCTCGATCCGGAGACGAGCGCAGTAACCACGAGGCCACTGCGCCTCCCAGACTCCCACCATGCACAGCTTCAAACCTTACCTGCACAGTGTTGTTAGCACAGGGGCAAATTTTGCAAAAATATGGCTTTCCTTAGCTTGCACTTTATGGGCTGTGTAAGGTTACCATGGTATTATCGGTAAAATGTACAGCTGTCTCCTTTGTTCAACGGAAGATTACTCTCTGATCCCAATACAAAGTTGGTTTTACTTTGCTGATATGGTTTCAATGCAAAGAAATCAATTTACACAGCACAATGCCCTGTGATAAGAGGAGGTAAAATCACTTACTGCCTCAACCATATCTCCAACTGTTAAGCTGTCAAGCATCAGTGCATTATAAACCTTTTCCTCCTCTTTCTTTACATATATGGTAACAGCTACAAGAAAATTAACACAGTCATACAGTACATGAAGTTCTACACGTTGCTGGAAATAATCAATTTTCTGATGTCAATTTTACTTTTTTCTAAATAAACAATTCTGGTAAGAATTAAACTATCATTATGAAGTTACTAACCTGGCCTGTTAGGTCTGTGGATTTTTTGCACTTTTAATCTAGGAACGACCTCTAAATCAGCAAGTTCATCCTACCCAAAAAATAAATATTTGTAATTAGTTGGGAATAAATTTCTAAACTACGTAATACCTAAAACTGTCCCAGAAATCCACTTGACACCAAATCATGTGGAAAAGATCTACACAGAGCTAGAAGAAACATACAGTTAGTTAACAGAAAATTATTTACCTTAGCCATGACTAAATGAGACTGTAGTGTTCTCTTGTTTTCTCTATCCCTACAATATCAAAACCAAACTATTAATCTCTAAACATTCCATCACTTAATTCACATTTTTCGGAAAAAAGAATCAATTAATCAACAGTTTAAGTCAACCTACTTAATGGATGCCAAAAGGGACAAGGTCTGCAACGATGACTCCTCAAAAGATGCACCCTGAAAATTACGTACAGAAAGAAAAACGCATCAAAGAAAAGCAAGCGAATTTTAAACAATCAATCCCACAAAGAGAAAATTTAATTGTGTGGTTCCAGAAAACATTCATATACTACCTCCACCAAGGATGGTTATTTGGTTTTTACCCCCCTACCCCTAGAATTTTCAATTTAGCTTCATACTTCAGGGCTCGACCTTCAGGAAAAAACCTTGGGGCCAGCTGGCCCCTAGTTTTCAGATTTGGTCAAAGTGTTTCAGTGAAAAGTGTGAAAAGTTAAATGCAGCTAAAATAAATTGGTAGCATCGGCAAAGCCAGCAGTCACAACATCAAGCTCTGTACTCTCCCTTTAAAAATTTGGCTATTGAGATCCCCCCAACCCCCTTGGAATTTCCAATGACCATCCTTGGTGTGGGTATGAATGTGTTCTGAGCCTGCACATTGTGTTATTAGTTAATGATTCTCTTAAGGTCTCATTTATAACTTGCCAACAGTAAATGGGTCTAGCTGTTAATCTTAGTGTTGCGATTGTCCAGGTGACGGAAGACTTCAATAGCACTGTTTCTGGACACAACCAGTGAGGAAATCAACTTTAGAGTCATGTAAAAAGTTGTATATAAATAAATTAATTAGTTAAATTTACACTATTTAGAGAGGAAGCTACATCAGCCTCACATCAGTAAAGCACTTCAACGATCACTTCTTCCATGAAAAGCAATTCCTGGACATTATCCTTCAAACATTCAGTAGCCTTCATACAAAATCATGTAGAAGTCAACTCACATGTGCACTATGTACAGTCGGAGTAAAAAGAACAGGCTTAGGGCCTAAAGGAGTGGTTGTTTGCAGCTGCGTGTATTTACTGGGAGGATGGAAGAGACTTGTAGGAGAAACCATGTTAGGATCTGAAAATAACAGAATGATTATTTTTACTGATGGACACTTAGAAGTGAATAATTTTATTATTGTATGCTCATCGCTCTTTTAATGAAACAAACCTATTGCACAGCTAACAACAGTCAATGTTGACATTATCAAAGTAAATCGTGATAAGTTTGGATGACTACATTTGACACACAGTGATCTAAGTTACACCTATTCAAGTGTCCAGTTAAACAATTTCATGAACTTTTGTAATGGGGAATGACTCATTGCAATAAAATATCAGACACAATTAAATTCACTTTGACTTTTATACAGAATGGAAATTCGAATTCATATGACTTATCCAAATCTGATGGATCTAGAAGAGGAACATCCAACTACAAAATAGCAGGACTAAAATCCACCATAAAAATGTTTTGGACATTTTGTTTAAAGCAGAAACTCATGACATCTATAGCTTGAGAATAAAGTTGAACTCCCAGAACAACAGTTGCATTATATCCAGGAAATAATTTCTTCAAGCATTTTGTTTGACTTAAACAAGGACAAAACTGACCAGCACAAGATGAAGTATTTTGCTTCACCCATTTCTGAATCCTTTTTTCTGCACTCTTGGATTCATCTTTGTTCTTTCTTTCTGCACCCTTGGTAAATGACAGTACAATATTTCAGCGTAAGCAAGATTATAGAAACAAGGAAAGAAAATTGCCAAATGACCTGTTTATTGCAGGTGCCAAAGTACATACATGTAGATCAAGTGAAGGGGTGTGTGGGAAAAATCCCTCTCGATCTCATGTCAAATTCTCCTTTCTTTCATAGAAGGAAGAAGAATCCAATTTACTAGAAGAATCTTGCAGTCTATCAGATGTCACTTAAGGTCTTTTTTCCATGCAACCCTTCAAGTATTAACCAAGATTCACTTACTTTGTCACGGAACACTTTAATCTGACAAAAGGTCCTATGCACTGGCTCTGCATCAGGATTAGTTAAATCTTCATAAGTATCTATCTGAAGATGCAGTGGAATTCCCTGCAGAAGAATCAACAGATCCGCCATGATCTGAGTTATAAATAATCCATTACAGAGACACTGTACAGAACAGCCTCTTTTATTAGTTCAAGGAACAACTTAAACATACCTAAACAGACTTGCTAATCCAACAGCAGTAAAGCCTGCTTAATATTAAGGATGGGGTGGGGGAGGGGAAAAGGGGGCAGGGGACTCAACTTAAAAAAAAAAAAGAAAAGAGAAAATGGAGAGAGGCAAATAGATGAAGCCATGATTTTACATTTCTCCCATGGCAAATTCTCCCCCTACCCTGCAAATAAATCTCAAGCTGTTTTACAATGACTTCCCCGAGAAGTACATTGGGTGCCACAATCACTGATTTCTCATTCCAGATTTATAACTCTTTACACCTTCCAATGGAGGCCTTATGTGACACCTAGGCACAAAGAGATAGGTACACCTCCCACTCACTACTGTTCAGTACTTTACCTCTTTGGCATTTGCCAAGCTCCATATCTCCCTTACAACAGTCAAAGCAGCCCCTCTTTATCTACACTGCTTGTAGTTAGAGACAAGGGGGCAAAAGGGAAAACATTGTACACATTGATCACCAACCTTGACTCCTTTCTGAGAGGAGAAGTCAGTACTCAAGCAGTTAATCCTGATGACTATCTTGGCATTCAAGTGAGGACTCCATGTAAACCCTGCTGCATTGTAAGATATCTCATCTATATTCTCCTCTATGTTTTGGCAAGATTTGCGATCTGAATAAATGAATGAATCAAAATAATAATGATACAATTTATAATATAAATTGATATAAATCGAAATAGAAGGATATGAATGAATGATTGAATAGACAATGTTTATTTTTAGACTGATGAATATCAATAGACATGTAATTATTAGTAAATTGATTAGTCAAAAGCAATTGGTTATTTCATTATTTTATCATTGAATAAATCACTGATGCCATGCATTTAATTAATCAGAACCGACATACAATGCACAGCTGTAGCAAAGTAACCAAAGTAAGACAAGTCAATGATTCTGTATTATTTTCATTCATCAATTTAAGTTACTTATTAAATCCATTTTGAAATCACTGGCTATCCTTGCAATCTGATTGGCTCTCAATGGTGCGATTTATTCATGAATCGCACTATGTTTTGCTCTAAATCGCATCTTTTTCTCAGCCATTGAAAATGGGACAGTAAAACAAAACAACAAATCAGATTTCAATATTAGTTTAAAGTAAACAATAAAATTTCTGGAAAATGAAAGGCAAAAAGCCATTGTGTGGATAATTTAGCAACTAGTATTGCCAAAACTCTGTTGTTATTGTGTGTTTTTTCCAGAAAACTTGACGAATGTAATTAATTACAGTTTCTAAATGACGATTATCAGCTCCTTCAGGCTGAACACCAACTTTAATGGAAGTTTCCAACTTTCAGT